TTGATGAAAGAATCTGCAAGCTCACCAAAAGAGTTTATAGAATTTTCAGGTAAAAGGGAATACCATGTTAGTGCTCCTTTGGTGAGTGTTTCGCCAAATTTCTTGACTAATACTGGTTCGATCTCCTGCTTAGTTAAATCATTGCCTTTTACGCCCGTTGTGAATGCAGTCACGTGGTCTCGTGGGTCTGTTGTTCCATCATACTTTGGAATATCAGGCATTTTGAACTTTTTTTGGAATTGGGAGTGGGGCAGCACTTGGCTTCCAGGGTTGTTGTGAATATCTGTCCATGTCTACCCCTTTGATTATGGGCGGCACCCCGGATATCTGCTCTATGCGTTCACTTTGCTCCTTGAGCTGTCTCTGCAAGGTTAGTACTAAATTTTGTAAATCAGAATTAATTACATTATCTGGTTCTCTCTCCTGCGGTTTACTGGGAGTTCCATCGCTGCCTGAATTAACAAGTCCGGAACGAGGGTTTTCTATAATGTTATTATTTGGAGAAGGTGTGGGTGTTGCAACAGGTAACTGGTTAACAAGCGCCTCAACAGCTTTGTTGACCCGAGCAGTAATTAATTTCTGCAAAGCTTCATCAACAGCTTCAGCATTTTCAAATTGAGCATACTCGTTTATTTGAGATCCATTAGGAGTACCCTCTCGAGATTGCCGTGGAGAGTCCTGCGGAGTTGGAACTTGAATGTTAATATTCTGTGGGCCTCCCTGACTTTGTTGCTTTTCTTGGTTTCCTGGGGTGTTGTCATTGTTATTCGACATAATTGATGTAACAAGGAAGGTCAAGTGAAAAGAAAATAGATTATCAGATTTCCGGTAACGGAACCAATTTGTTTAACCAAAAAATAGAATTTCAGTCAAAGCTAAAATTTAGAAGAACGCGGGTTACTGATAATCAAAAGAATATGTAGAAGAGAGTAATTTGGAGTAACCAGAGTGTAATCAGGAGAAAAACAAGTGAATCAAAGTATATTCCAATTGTGTCTTGTCCCTACAAGTGACTAGATACCTCCCTTTTATAGGTATCTTGAAGATATGCATTTCCTCCAAATCATAATGAGGTTATTATGAATAATTAAAGACATTGAATGCTACGTTACACAATCATTGTAATCAATACAAATTCTCTAACGTATCCAGTATTTAATGTCTGTCGAATTTCGTATCTGCGCTCTTTATTATGGTCAGATCCGTTCCTTTTGATAAATAATTTAAATAGGTACGGACGCTGAATCCTTCAAATGTCCTCTCGTGCCTCTTCCTTTGCCTTTGCTCGTTTCTACTGTTGTCCGTGCCTCTTGACTCATTATAATTCTTTGACTATTTGACCAGTCCACGTGTCTCAACATGTCACTTACATATATAAATGCAATTTTCCCAATACAACAGGTAAATGAATTAAGTATTCGGTATTTATCAGAAAAACCTGTAGAAAGTTTTAAAAGAATTTCATTTTGTTAGATAAGCCAGAAGTATTAACACTTGCTTTTGTCTCTTTTTCTGGAATTAGAGAATGCGCATCGACCTTGCTGATGAGAAGAAAGCAATTGAGGCAACTGTCCATTATCTCCTTTGCTTCACGGTATGCTGAATTGATTTATCATTGATGTATATATACTTTCAAATTTTAGCAAACAACAACATTTAGTGAGCGGTTGTAGGATCTTGTATTTGCCGCCTCAACTTCACACATATTCCTATCAATAGCTTGACATGATTTATTACTTCTTTTTGTTGTTTAGACGATAGGTGCCGGAGGTGTGGGTTTGGTCTATGAACACAAATATTCTTTGGACCGGCAGAATCAAACTCGCTTGGAAATAGAGAAAATTTTGCAAAAACACATGCAAGGAATCTCGCAAAGAATGGAAAAATCCGAACAAAAAATCAATCAAATCAGGCATAAATATCAAGAAATCAATCAAATCAGGCGTGGATTTCCAATTATCAACCACGTGACAGGTAGAGCAAGAGTTGTACCTTTCCTGTATCTAGCTGGCCTTCAAAACAATGATAAAACCATTAAAGACACCAGTTATTTTTGAGGTCTTACATTTTGTAATTGTGACAGACGCGATGCGGGCGGATATGGAGCTCTGGTCAAGGCAATCAACTATGAAAAATATGACTGACGGCAGTTGATGATCGAAGATGTAAACCCGTTGCTGACTTAGGTAGTGAAGGAAAGAAGGTGACTTAGCATTGTAATCTGTTGCGTGTTAATTAATGATACTATTTCCTCGCTCGTATTCACTGAATTATTAGTGTTCTCTGTGTTTTATCTACCCACTTCTCCTTGGAACGCTGTCAATTCTACTCTAAACAACTCGCCTTACTCTTTATTTGCGGTTCTATTCTTGAAAAATCATGCTGTTGCTTTTGAGTTTATAAATTTTAAATGCTTTTGCTTCCTCTAAATAAATAAAGAAAATATGACACGAACTCTTGACTACTCTTTATTTGCTTTCAAGGAACCCCAGCCGGTCCTTGAGTATTTCCACCTGGTCAGAGTGCTAAGGAACTGCAAATCAGATTGTACAAATTTGATTTCACTAAAGTGGATTAATATGTCCTCAAAACAATTAAAAACAAGTAAACTCCATTTATTCATGACTCATGAGTCCATAATCCGACTAGGCTAAAGTTTTCCAAACCTGGTTTGTCTATAGGTGTTTCCATATTGTTATATATACACTACCTTAGTTATATATTTACTAAAGTTTGTGATTTGAGATTGAAAGCTCTAGCTTTTTCACAAGTGTTGTAGTTATTCAGTCTCTGAAACAAGTGTCAACATTATGAGAAAACCAAGAAAGTCTTTTTGGAGTTCTAGTTTGATCTCATGTGATTATCATTTATTCTTTATGTTATTCGAAAAGTCTAATTTTTGTTATACACAATAGAATAACCGAAAAATTGGTATGATATGAATTTTATAAAATAACCGGCCGAACCTAACTTGATACCCCTAAGTGTAGTACTATAATTAAGAACAAGCAGTCAGCCACCTCTGTTTGTTTTGAGTGCGAAAATCCGGTTAAGAGGGTGTTTGGCTAAGCTTATAAGCTGGTCAAACTAGCTTAAAAACACTTTTCGACTTATCTACTAGTTTGGTATAGTTAAAACTGCTTATAAGCCAAGTGCTTATAAGTCAAAAATAAGCCAAAAGCCATAAGCTGGTCACCCCTAGCTTATGNCCCGGGCCTCTTCATGTTTGCAATTCTCATTGACTATTTAAGACAAGCAAATTCTATATTCCTTTGCATATATGTATCTATGTGATTGTGTATTAATTTTTGAACTGTATGTAATAAATAAGGACATATCAAATTTTTGGTGTATTGCTTTCTAAGTGTTGTGGTTGATGAAGATAATGTTTGTTTCTCTTCAACTATTTTGTCCTATTTAGGTTTATTTTTTATCAAGAAACTTTTGTCAATTTATATTATAATTTATGATTATATGCTTATCATAAAATAAATTATATCTATCATAAAAATTATTATATCTAAGCATTGTTATATTTAAAATAAAATAACAAATAGAATATTTTGTATTTGAATCGATCTGGAATCTAAAATTTTGGAGAAATTACGCTCTTATAAGTGTAAACAATTCTAAGGTTATTTAAGTCATTTGAATAGAAAAAGAGCTTATCAACACTTTTTTATCAAATACTGCAGTAGCTTATTATCAATTTCAGCACTTGTATCCAAACACGTAACTGCTTATTTATTAAGAGCCCGTTTGGCCAAGCTGCCAGAATGTGCTTATTTTGAAAAGTACTTTTTTTCATAAGTACTTTTTTCAAAAATACTTCTGAAAAAAAATAACTTGTGTTTGACCAATTTATTTAAGAAGTACTTTTTGCAAAATGTGGTAAACTAATTGTGTGGCCAATCTTTCTAAAAAGTACTTTTGAGCGTCAGATTATCAAAAAGGATAGTACAAAGGTCTTATAATTCTTTAAAGGAGAAAAATGAACTCAAATATTTATCGTAAGCGACTATTATTTTTATTTTATTTAATTAAAACATAAAACATAAAGTAAACAATCATATTAAAGATTTAAATCAATTTTCCACATATAGTTATACCAAAGCATATATTATTATCTAGTATAATTACTTATTGTTACATGATGATTTGAATCATCAAAATACATCATTCAATATCAATTAGAACTCTATTCCACAAATTACTATATAGTGATAATCTACCATAAAATAATAAGTAAAGTCACTCACACATGATAATCTTTCTCAACAATTTCATCTCTACGTCTATCACAACGCCTCCATATTAGTAGAAGACTTGCCTTGCATTTCTAAAGGAATATCATAAGGTCCATCTCCTTCCCCAATCTCTGCAGTAATGTCTTCATTAGCATAATAATTGAATTCCTTATCGGTAGAAGAATATCGTCGGATGAAATTATGTATAGCCATGGTAATTGTAACTAGATGATTCTGAATGTCAAACTTGAAAGATGGCATTGAACGTAAAATAAAAATAATTTTAATATATAAAATAAATTTTTTTGTAAAAAAATAGTTAAGTATGTTTAAATTCAAATTTAAAAATAATAACGAATTATTAACAACACATAATGTATAATTTTTTTAAAATTTAAATTCAAAAAAAAAACTAATTAGTATTACCTAACCTTACTAACTTTGTCCTAAATTGCCAAGTGGCCTATTGTCAGGCTGCCACTTGGCTTAATGTGTGATCCTTTTTCTTCTTCTATTAATAATATATAGATACATTATGCGTTAGAATTGTAAATTTATTACCTATTTGTAGGTAATTTTCACAAATTAGATTTGATAACTGTTTTAAAGATTCGAGAAGTAACAACATATAGCAGAAGAAATTATAAATGATTATTTGTAGGAAGAGATTTGATAATCCAAAAAAAGGATATAGATAATTTGCTTTAGTGTCAAAAAAGAAGAAGATCATTTGGAAAGTTACAAGACATTACACAAAGAACAAATCAAAAACAAGAAAAGTCAATAAAGAATTTGGAAAGTTACAATATAATTTATGTATATGATATCTTTAATTTTAAAAGAATGGTAAAAACTAGAAACAAAAATGAAAAGAAAAAACTTAAATTAGTAAGGGATAATTTGAAAAATATAAATTTATGGTGAGGATAGTTTTGTCTTGAGTAAATTAATTTTTCACTTCTGCTTCTTGGATGAAGCTAGAATTTTCTGCTTCTTTCCAAAAGCAGAAAAATTGCTTCTGCTGCTGGCCAAAAGTACTTCTCTCTATTGGCCAAACAGCTTAAATGTTTTTAAAAGTACTTTTTTGAAGTAAAAAAGTACTTTTGTCATTCTAGAAACTTGGCCAAACAGGCCCTAAATCAGTTACAGCACTTAAAAGTGCTTTTCAGCACCTAATGTTTATAAGCTAATCCAAACAGGCTCTAAGTGGTCAGCGTATAGAGTGCCCATGAATTGTATCGAGGGCAAAACTGATCGAGTGACTTTTTGAATTGGCTCGGGAGTAGAGGCCTTTCCCCCAAGATATTGGTTTTAGGTTCCTGCGGGTGACTTTTTGTCTTACGACACGGCATGGTAATTGATCGAGTGCACTTTCCTTTATCCTACTTCCACTTCGGGAAATGAAGTGCTAAAGGGCGGGCGTGCTCGACTGAAAGGAGAGGAAAGCTTCTTCACTTTCGGCACGGGCGCGGACTCCGCGATCTCTAGGTCGCCAAGGTTCCTTTTTTTCCGCCTCTTAAGATCCGCTATCCGATCAAATTCTATTAGTTTGATTCATAGTGATCATTTATCAAAGAATGACTCTGGTTATCAAATGATGGTTCCCTTTGTTTGGATAAATGCCGCTTATTTTAGTTTACATTCAAACCAAAGTAAACCAAGCCTAAGCGGTCACGAAATCAGCAATATGGGTAGGAAACCACCCTATATTTTACTTGGACGCTCTTGAGGAGGAAGAAAAGGAGTAGAACAATGCCTTTGACAAATAGACACCTTTGATTCATGGGCGGTATTACTGCTAGGGCTCCCGATCGCAAAATCCCACAAATATCCTCGATTAAACGTCACAGTCTTTTCCTTCGACCGAGTTTTTTTTAACCCGAACGGGTTTTTAACGAGGCAACGCCAATGCATTTCCTGAGAAATGACAAACGAGGTTCTAGTAGGAAATGATGTACTGGGCCAAACGGTCGAACGAACCGTGTTCGCATGAGCCGGGATTACAGCAACTCAACGTCATGTATTCACGTCAAGCAATCAAAGAGTATCTTTCACCCAAAAGCATCTCGTACTCCATAGGAAAGTTTAGCATGATTATAGTAGGGGTTCTCCCATCGAATACGTGCCTAAATACTCGGAGACTTGGCGTCAATGATTTGGCACCCACACGACCTCATGGTTGGAACCCCGGGCTCATAAGGACCCAACGAGGCAATTTCGAGCTCACGAATAACGACCTTCGAGCCTAAGCAAACTCGATGACTCAGAGACTGTCGTCAATCACCATACACTGGAAAACCCGAGGCGATAAGACCCTGAGCGGGCAGACTCGGTCTAGCCAGATCTATTTTACATAGCAACAAAAACTGTAAGATCTCAACAGGCATGACAAACTGTAAGACCTCAACAGGCATGACAAACTGTATGACCTCAATATGCATTACTAACTGTAAGACCTCAACATGCATGACAAATTTTGTAAGAACTTACTACAGGCATAAAACTCAGATCCCGAAGTTTAGGCTATATGTCACATTTGTAAGACTCCCGAAAGGGCATACCCTCGATAGAGACACCTAAACTATCACTCGAGATCAAAAATGGCACCAGCAAAACGCATATGACTATGGTCAAAATGGCTGCACCAGCCAAATTAACGCGACTCAGGGACGCCCGACCATCACTAAACAAAATCACAAGCCATTACTTCGAATCTACTTCGAAAAGAACCTGTTAAAACAAGTTTCCCTCAATAGGCAAATGATCTTTGACCATGTCAGCTCCAAATCACAAGTCTTCGAGCTACTCAGCCAATGAGCTAAACCTTCCGAGGTGCTCGAACATCACCACTAACAACTTGAAATCGAGGTTCTTCCCGAACCGACGACGGGTCAGGCAAAATTATTTCAAAAGGACCTTAATGAGAGGAAAACAAAGCTTACAAAGCGCTAGAGGCTCTACCCCCACCCACCAGCCGGGGCCAGAGCAAGTTGGGTTGGGGTATAAAGCCGTGTAAGCACGGTGGGGGTGACAGAGGATGTGCTCGTACGATTCACAGAAGGATATAAAAAAATTACTTATTTGTTGGGAACACAAGAGGTATTTTTAGATATATTACTCAAAAGA